ATAAACAGACGAAATGTTTACTGGTCTCTATCAATCATTTCATCTGTTATCACCATCTCCTTTATACGTTTTTATGATATAGTTTCAAATAATATTTCATTCAATATTTTAACAAGACAGTGAAACAGAAGTATGATGAAGTTTATTTGCCTTAAGTGCAAAACCCTGCAAATTTTCTGCAGTTTAGGTTGGAGCACTGAATAAACTGATCTAAGAAAATGAAACATTTTCTTAAGAATAAATGTAATTGCCCTTAATTTGAGCAAGTAAATAATATTATAATACTACTAGTGGAATGTGGATTCTTTCCTTTAAAGTAAGATAATCAGATATTATGCACTTTAAATAACATAACCAAGCTATTTTGTTCTTATTTTTAGCATAAATATTATTAAACTGGCAAATTGTCTTATTTAAAAAAAATATTTCTGCGCTGAGAAGTTAAAGACCGGACAATTGTTAGTCTTTCACCTCATAAATCTTGGCTTTATGGAAAAAGGGGAAGAAAGAAAACGGTTGTTGACAGTAACAAAATGCTTGGTTTGCCAGTAACTATGCGGCCTGTGGACGGTCTGAAGGCTACATGAGAGTAAACTATTTTTTTTTTTTCATGAACAAAAACCCTGTGTTTGAAAACTACTGCTGTACAATGAAATGAACACACTCTGACATGTGGGTGTGGAAGCTTTACACAGTGGGGATGCTTTTCGTCAGCAGGAATGAGGAAGCTGGACGGAGTTCATGTGAAAACTAGTATTGCACCGATGCCATTTTTTTGCCTAGATACCGATACCCCATACCTGGCTGTGCAGTATTGACCGATACCGATACCATCAGTTTCAAATTGTTGTGTGTGAGTGTGTATATATGAAGAACTGCATCCTACTTGGATGTAAAATAATTGTCATCATGGCTTAGTCAAGCTGCTGCCTACCTTTTTGAAGCAGGAAAAAGACTAATACAAAGTGAATCCAGTAGAACTTTTTATTGCCTACCTGGAATGGGTGACAATAGTTGAATAAACTTTTTAAACTCTCAAAATGGTATCGGTGCCCTATTTGTCTGTATTTACCACCATTTTAGTGCCGGATCGGGGCCCCGCCAGATGCTGGTATTGGTGCAACACTAGTGAAAATGGAAACACTTCCTGCTAGATCCTGTTCAGTTGCTGACATTAAATCCCTTTAAAATGCTTAAAGTGTGTGGTCGCATCCTGACAGCTAAAGTAAAAGTAGAAAAAAATGCTGCAGACTTAATACAGAACTAAACAAGCCACCATTCAATCCTAACATGGTCTATTTTGTTATACACATAAAGACATCTTTACTAATATAAGATGATTAAGAATCTGTAGGTTTAGACTTTGTTCCACATCTCTGAGGCCCACCTTAACCACAGGCCTTTAGACTTCCTGGTTCTCAGTGCTGCATGTGAAACACATGGGCTGCTCTCTGCTCTCAGTGCAAGAAGTGGTTTTCCTGTCCAAGGTTACCTAGATCAGGTTGAGAGCGGCTTGTCGAGGTCTTCCGGTAAACCAGAAAAAGTTTCAAATAGGTCAACTAAGAAAATGCTTTCTACAAACTTAACAATAAATACTGAAAGATAAGGATTTAATAATAAAAGGATTTAACTGTGCATACTACTTGCTTAATCTTAGATTCAGCAGTAATTGCAAACGTGCATTTCCTTCCAGAGGATTCCAAAGTGTCACAGAGCTCTGATTAGGAATATTTTCCCATTGGTAAGATTACTATGTTAAAAATCCCACAATAATATCAAAACAAAGGTAAAAACAACCCTGCTTTGCTCTGTGGCTGCAGCTGCCTGTGTGAACAGTGGCTATCAAACCAGAAAGAAGAAGAAATGTGTGGTTTAGGAGCTGTGAAAGGGACCCTGTGAGGAAGTGTGGTTAGATAGTTGCTCAGGGTAATTTGATCTTTAGTTTTGTGTCAAACTTGCACTCTCTTGCTTATCTTTGATGCTTTGCTGTAACCATCAAACTACAACATGCAGTTTCTATTAGACAAGATCAATGCAATTAATCAAAATTAAATAAGTTTAAATGCTTTTTTTGTAAAGCATGGGAATCAATGAAAAAACTCTTGTTTTGTCTCATTGGAAAAAAAGAAAGAAAGTGACCTTTGGAAATGATGCAAAAAGAGATAAAACCTTTTCTCTGCACATACAGGGTGAGTCATTTTTGGCAAGGCTCATTTTTAGAAAGGTTATTTTGTGGCTTAGGTAAAATGACTTCACTCGGCTTCACTCTAATGTCAGTGGCAGGTGTCTGGTGTCCTGTTTGGAAATTTATACTTAAAACTAGGCTAAATACTTCAAAACTTAAGCTTACATTATGTGAGTAAGCATGTCATAAATTAGCAAATGCGTTTCAACATAAAACTATTGCTAAATGTGACTTTAGATGCTTAACTCTTTGCTTTTATTTTATGAAATAAAACATTTCCATGAGTTTTGACCAATCTAAGGGAGTTACAGCTCTATTTTAGAAGTTAAGTCACCCCAGTATGCAGAATCAGGGAGAAGTGACTAAACTATGACATAACTGTGAGTTTTAAATATAGCTTGCGACCAATCTGCTGGTCTAAAATAACAAAACCAGTAACCATGGATGGAAATAATAAGAGATGACACAGGCTTTAACACCAAGCACATTTAAGGGGATTTTAGATCCATGTAAAAAAAAAAAAAAGAGTAGGGTTGAGAAGAATATTGTAAAATTAGATTATGTTTTTATGAAAGAGGAAGGTGGTTAGCCTGGAAATAAGCAGTGTGAGTGCATGGAAAGAAATGTACAGGGAATAACTATTAAATGAATGAAGAAAATGATTTGGAAACAAGCCTAAAAAGCTATGAAAACAGTGGAAATCTGTCAATGTTTAGTTGGTGCTATGCCCAGATAAATATCAGCTAGCCTACAAAAGGTTTCTCTCTACAAAATACTGTGAAAAGTGGGTCAGTTGGTAAAAATGAAGCGATTTATATGAGATAAAAGGATTGCTGCTGCTAAGTATGCATATGGTCACTGTTCATTTCTGCATGTCTGAATGTTCCACTGAGTGCAGTTATAGCCATTGTCTGCATCTGGGGGAAAATGCATAATTTCACCATGAACCAGCTTGCACTTTGTAAGATTTCTGACAGGAGATAAAAGGATAATAAAAGTAGAAAACATTCATTCCAAAACAGGGAAAGACCTAAACTCTATGCACACTGACTGCAAAATACTCTACTGCTGGAGCATGCTAAAGGTTTGCCTAAAGGTATACTGGCTGATTTTTGCAAATTTTTTAAAAGAGCCGCCCTCTCCACAAAAAACAATGCACATGCAAAACTCTGTACCTGCTCCTGAGAGGGAACACCTATTTTAAATGTGTGCAAGATCATGCGCGAGCCCATTTCTCTTTTTTGACTTTCTCCAAATAGCATGCCAAACTTTACCTGTCGAGCAGAAACTTTGTAATAGAAGCATCAGTGGGAACCTGTGCTATCAGTGTACGCCATCATGTGAAAGAATCACCCAAAGAAACTGTAGCTCACCACAGATATAAGCCTGAAAGTTTGCATGTGGAGAAAAAGATAGCTAACTGGGGACGAGCTCGTAGGACGGCCTTACATAAACTTATCACTAGATTGATTGACAATTAGGAGGACCATTAATTTTGATGATCCAACCGGAAAAAGAGCATCCTCCAATATACCTTTAAGTTGCTTTTGGAAAAACAGTGAAATAGTGCGATAGTATTATCTGGTCAGATAAAACTAATCTAGTTCCATCAAAGTACCATTATAAGAATAGCTTTACATAAGGTTGTTAAAAAAAACCTAATGTTTAAGAGATTACATTTTTAGCTAATCTTTTATTTTCTGTATATTTTGATTACTTGGCTTGTTGCCAATATCTGGTGTAAATTTGTCCACACATGGCTCCAATGTGACATGGACGGCTCTAGACGGGTGGGCCAGCAGGGGCTAGTGCCCCTGAAGAACTGGGCCCTGTTACAGCCCCTGTACTGAAGATATACTGAACATATTTCTTATGATTATATGAGCTGGGACAGATGCTGTCCTTATTTCCCCCCTCTGTTTCATCTTTTTATCTTCACCTGTTTTATCTAAACAATGATTTAAAAAAGTGTTGCACTTTTAGCCTTAGTTGTATTGAGATAGGATCAAAGTTTTAGGCACTGGACTATAAACTCTGTTTATAGTTTTTTCAAATTATCAGATGTAATTACCATAACAATCTAATGAATACTATATATTACATGTACATCATTAATTTAGCACTTTTGGCACATCAGTATTATTATGTTACATCAACACATTAATTTTCTTGTGACGAGTTTGTATGTCATATTACATGATTTATAGACTTCATTGACTTCATACTGACAATGGAAAGTGATGCACCTATTTTTATTTATTATAAATTAAAGTAATCTACTTATGCTATGAAACAGCAAGTGTGTGTCCAAGTGATGAATTTATCTTTATTTTAAAAATCTTAAGCTCCCCTGAAAATGAGAACATCATCGTTTTTCGATTCTGTAGCGCGCATATTGTTCACATTGAGACCGGTCTAACTAGGGGGTACCTATATGGCGGCCGGTGGCTTCTCTTCAACCCCGTACTACCAACAGGCAATCAGCAATCCAGTGAATAAATAGAGAATAGCGGTTTTAGGGGTTTTATAGCAAAAAACTCAACTTTAAAAAGCCCAACATGCTGATTGCAATTTTGACAGACACCAATATCCTTTAATAGTTTTCAATATAGTTTTATTCAACTAGAAAATAACAATACCAACTAGATTTTTTTGTTTGTTTCATAATATTTAAACAAAAAAAAAAAAATACACTTGGCCCCATCCTGCAGGCAGCCTTCTTACTAATCTATGTAAATATGTCTAAAATGTGTCTAGCTGTTTAGAGGACAAAAAATGCAAACTCTAAATTTGTACAGAAATACTGCATGGATACCGCTGGTTCCCTCACCTGAGATGTACATGAGACCGCCATGAACTGTTCCAGCATGCCCATAGTGAGGTTCCACCATGTTGGTTACAAAGGTCCACTCATTTTTCTTTAAGTTGTAGCACTCCACTGTGTCTGAGTTTTAAAACAAATGAGCGAGAGAAAATGGTGAAAATGAACAACTGGACCTTCCTTGCAAGAAATGTTGACAGTTTTTGAATGTGGGCTTACCGATTTCCCCTGAGGCGTTTCTTCCTCCCACTGCAAACAGTTTCCCTTTCAGAGCGCTGAGGTGGAAAAATGTCCTTTTCTCATTGAGTGAGGCAATCTGAAGCCATTTGTCAAAGCGTGGATCATAGCGATAGGCGCTGTCTATGGCCGTCTTGCCCTTTGTGTCGTATGTGCTCTGACCTAAGAATTAAAAAAGAATCAGGGTAAACCTCCTAAATGTAGCTTGAAAGAGTTTTATCTCATTTGTTTAAAAGCTATGAAATTAATCAACATCTTTTTACCACAATGATCAGCTTAGCCTCAGTGCATTCTTCATGTATAGCACCGACAATACATTAAAATGTTCATAGTCTCGTTTTTTTTTTACATTTTCTTATTCATATGCCAAGAAACTCACTGCATCCTGCTTGATTAAATTTTTTTTTTGTTTTACATTTTAATCAGTAGGTTAAAAAAATAAAGCCCTTTCTATATTTACAATAACAATAGAGTCAGATGCAGCAGCTGCAGCCTGTGGTGCATTCAGAGAGAAGCGCAACTCTCCTGTTTTAGTCACACATACACAAAGCTTCCACTGATGCCCCCTGAATGAAAAGCAAGATGTAAATATAATATTTAGCATATTTTATTTTCTTTAAAACAGTTGCACTAAAATGGATCCCTCCTTGGATTATATTCATTCACAGCTTTAACAACAGCTGGTGCCTCTGCTAATGGTGTGTGGCTGATGCCTCTGCTAATTGTTTTTAAATTCAATTTAATAACATAATTGATTTATGTAATTTTGGTTCAGTTAAAATATTGCTAAATACTAAAAAGTATTTCAGAGAGTTTATCTTTCATTTATTGTGTTTTAATCACTTTTCTTGCCCATGTCAATAATCCTCTCTCCTTTTGGAAGATCAAGATATTACCAAATATGCAAATGAGCTTATAATATCATCTAGCGATTTCCAATAACTTTTAGGGCAGCTAATAGCAAAAACTGACAAGGTATGATACTTCTCATGTGCACGGAAAAACAGGTAAGTAGTTTACTGCAGCTAAGCCAGTTACTGTAGCACCTCCCAGGGAAGTGTTGAAATAATGAAGATAATTCAAAGATTCAGTGTGAAAAAAAACACAAAAATTATTTATTCTATGAAGGATAGGACTTGAACAGGGCTCTAAATACAGGCTGCACCTTGTTCAATGAAGCTAAAGCTGCCTAGGTGTTCAGATGTGGGCGCTAAGGTGATCAATGTGAGTAAATGTCCTTATTAATAGAAATACTTGTAATCTCAATACAACATATATTTGAAATAGATAAGTAGATTGATTGGTATAATGCGTGTCTGTGTTTGCTTTTATTAGGAACAGAAAGTTTCTTTCCTGATATTCTGATATGAGCCTCTGGTAGGATTAACTAGATCTTAGAGTTAGATCTTAGAGATGTACGGTAGATCAGTTTATTTGATTAATATCAGCTGATCTTCCACAAAGCACAGTTTTGCTTTACTGCGAGGAATTGCAGGACAGTTGGGCTCCATTTAACAGTTGCCATCTGGTTCTCTGGTATTGTCAGTAAAAGATATTTTGCATCCGGAGCTGGAATTTTATTTAGGCTTAAAAAAGACTATTTAAATGGTATCAGGACAGACACTGGATGTATATAACCTTATTTTATCGAGGTTAAATGTTTTTAGGTTTAAATTTCGGGCTTGTTGTGCAAGTAGAAGCAGCTCTCACCTCCAACAATAAAGAGGAAGCCTCCAAGAAGAGCCACCCCGTGTTGGTAACGAGGCACATCCATGGGCTTCAGAGGCCTCCAGTAGCCGGTGTTCTCATCATAAAGCCTTAGCTCCCGGCTCACCACCAGTTGTTGTCTCATCACGCCTCCGAGCGCCAGGATGTGAGTGGCGTCTGATCGAATCTGCGTCCTCTCGGTTTGCAGGGCTGGCTGCATGTAAGGCATCATCTGGTAGTTACTGGCCTCCAGCAGGAGGTTCACGCAGGCAGTATCAGAGCGCATCATGGAGTCACTTTCCTCCTCCTCATCTTGGGAGATCTGAATCAGCTCATTGGGGCTCATAAGTGGGAAACGAATGTGGCGCATCAAGGCGTAAACGGAGGAGTGACGTGAGGGAGGGTCGTGCTCCAGCCAACCTTTGGCAATGTGGTAGAGCTCCAGCTCGGAAAAACCGCTCAGCGAGTTGCTGGCCAGAGCATTGGCGATGCTGGTCTCTGAGAGCTGCTGGTAGCGACCAGAATCAACCAACGCTGTGAGGTTCTGGCTCACAAACTTACCTAGGGTTGATAATATGGAAAAGGTGCACTTTAGGGTAGGAGAATTTCACACATAAGTGGTGGCGTTCCAATGGTTGTCTTAACTCACCTATGTTCACCAGAACGTCTTCAAGAAGCAGGTCTGTAGCAATCTTTTCCACTTCCACACAGTTATCAATGGTAATCTATACCAAAAAAAAAACAACACAATCAGATTAACTCAGATATATCATACATGATGAACTGTAAATGCCTGTACTTATATAGTTATATAAGTCAGGAGATTCGACCAAAGCGCTTTACACTAGTAAGTAAGTAAGTAAGTAAGTAATGTTCAGCACCTTTTACACACATGGAGGTTACAGAGTGCTTCACAAAATTACAATACAAATAAAAATTCATTTACAGTCACAAAAGACATGTTCATAAAACAACCCTTAATCTACTGGAATTGAAATGCTTTCTTAAAAAAAAAAAGGTTTTCAGTTTGCAATGCAGGTGAAGTGTCTTGATCAAGGACACGACAATGAAAGCCATAGCAGGGGCTTGAATCGAAAACCCTCCGATTGCCTAAACTCCTGCACCGATGCCACTGTCGCCCTTAAATGTGCTGCTGCCATCATGCAGCTTTTAACATAGATCTAACTTAGAGGACTGGAAGACCTAAGAGGCTTTTGAGGAAGAGGCCTGCGTTATAAACCACCACTCATTACTGTATGTGTTAGATAAAAAAATACAAGAAATTTCTTACCTCACTGCTCAGAAGTTCGTTGCAGAAGCTCAAAACAGGCATGACTTGCAAGAAATTTGCAGCTTCAAGTGTATCCTGGAGGTTGCCCATGTCAAGGCTGACTTTGGATGTGTAAATGAACTCTATGATGTTCTTTAAGCCTGCTTTAGTGACCCCATACAGCTTGATCTCTCTCATCTCCTGCTCCCTCATGCCTCCTTAACAGAGCACATAAAAAATAGGTGTAAGAGGACAGAAACAAGGTGAATGCATGAATTTGCATCACTTGGTAGGATTTGTATTGAGTTGACACCTAGATGGCCTACTAACAGAGGACAAGCACAATGGAGTGGATTATAGCAAATTATTGGTCTCTTTAGAGGCAGAAACCAAAACTAGAGGAGATGAAGGTCAGGACAGCTTCCCTTTTCACGTTAATTAAAGATAAAATAATAATTGACAGTAGTTTATGACAACTTGGTTTGTTGGTTGGAGTTCAAAAAAGCTAACAACATATATTTTATAATGGCTGTCTCTTCTTCCTGTTGGTAATGTTCATGGACAGCATCTTAAAGGTACGTTGGTAGACATTTTTTTTTATTTATACACCACTAACTCACTCGTATGGGCTACAGGTTCCCCTGCACCACTTCCTGAACTTTGTTTCCTGTCTTTCATTACTGCACAGACTGATGAAACCAGGTCGGTGTGAGCTTCGTAATGATAATGCTCAGATACATATGCATTAATCAGTCTGTCCAGTAATGAAAGACAGGAAACGAAGGAGTTGGCTAAAGTTCAGGAAGTAGTTGATCTAAGCATGTAGCTCATTGCAAACAATGTTTTTATGACAAATTACGGCATCCTGCTGCTTTTCCAATTGTTAATTTTTGTCTTTATTTAGTTTATTTCTCAATTTGTCATTAAATATATTGTTTCTGTTTGGTGATTACATCAATGCCCCTGCATACAATTGGTCAACAAGCTGAAGCAATGGAGCATAGTTAGGGGAAATAAGAAAAGTTCAAGATCAAGTGTAAAAAGGTGCAGGAAAATGTTTGATTTCAAAAGCGATAAAACTGTAGTTGTGCTGGAAAAAAAGTCGGAGAGTTGGAGTTTACCAAAGGTGGATCTAACCAACCGGGCAAAAGTTGGTTTAAGACATTGACATTGAAAATATTGAAAGGACGACATGGTTTATATCCAAACAACATCCACATTTGGTTGAAAAGTGAAAGGTGAAAAGCTGTAATCTTCAGATTTGAAAAGGTGGGAAAAAGGTTTTCAACGTCTTTTTAGCATAAATTATTGGACTTATTGGGACAAAATAAGACCAACCAAAGACGGCCTGATTTTTAACATCTTTTTCTGGACTAAATACAGACTATGACGGACCGACCAGATTTAGTCTAAACACCAACGTCTAAATGACGGCTAGTCTTTGGGGGGGAAGCACAGGAAGCATTCTAGTGTCGCTGTGAAGTTGATAGACATGTGATGACATGTCTTACCAAATAGTGCTACAAGTGTTACCAATACATTGAAGCCCTGTTCTCACTCAGAAATGATGGTTTTCTGTGAGGCATAAAAAAATGACCAGTACCTATTTAGTAGCCAGTGATGGGAGTAACGTTGTTACTTTTTTTTTATAGTAACAAGTAATCTAACTAATTACTTTGACTGTAACTATAACGCAGTTACCATTGCAGACACCCGTTACTGCACGTTACTCAGGTCGCACAATGAACCTTTTTTTCATGATAGGACTCGTGCGCGACTTGTCATGAGAGGGGGGATGAGAATGGCTGATGTATAGTGAGATTCCGTCTGTCAGTTGGGTAGGTGGGTGTTTCCGCTGGTGGGTGTTAACGTACAGCACACACAGAGAGATGGAGAGTGAGGAGGACACCAGCAGCAAAACAACGTTTTCCAGATAGAAATACCGGTGTTACGTCGAGCTGCGTTTCCCCATCAGATACGGTTTCCAATGCACGTTCGCACAGCGCAGGTGGCACGATTCACCGCGCAAGCGACAGGAAACGCACATGCTCACTAAAGGCACGTAACAGCCGCCCTGTGCTTGCACCATAGGGGAACTATGGAGAGCGTGCAGCATCAAATGTTAGCCTATGTGGAGAAAGGGAGAAATCAGGATGGATGGATGGATGGATGGATGG